ATGTTAGCTCAGGAATTCTGGGAGTTGAAGTCAACAAGTCTTAAACTTGCCAAGTTTGAAGATCCTTAACTTAGATCAATGAAAAAGATACCCTTTGGATGAGAAGAGAAAGTTTGAGTTGGGCCATTTGCCTTGGCTTTCAATATGTTGCCAGCATCAACAGAATGGCCTCGGTGACGAACCAGGTTCTCCAACCTAGTTGCCCATAAAAGGCCATTTTTTCAGCCCCAGCCATTATCTAATCCAGGGGTGTCAAACTCGCGGTGTCACATGGTCGTCACGTGACGTATTATGACTTTTCCCCCCTTTGCTAAACCGGGGGTGGGCATGGCCAACACGTGACGCATCCAGGCCGTGGGCCACAAGTTTGACACCCCTGGTTTAATCAACTGCTTAGAAAGAAGCACCTTTGCAGCTTTTACACAAGACATTCCTGTGGAAGAAGCAGCCAGGGTAGCAGCCAATCCAGTGATTTAATCTGCCTGACATTCAACGAAATCCTTCCTGATGTGGTGACACATTGACTGACTTTGTAGTCGGAACTGGCTGTTAACTTCTGCAAGGTTTTCATCAAGCTACATAAGTGAGAAATTTAGATGACACTTTCTCCCCTCTGCATTTTGTTACCAGTCATTTTATTTTGCTTGTGGACGTCCTTTTTTTCTCTGTGTTCCTTTCCATCGCAAAGGCAGGTGCTCCTAAATTCCTGGGTCTTTAATTAAGTTTGCTCTGATTTGAACAGATCAGCCAATAGGAATTCATCATGTGAAAATCCTGCACTGCAAAACTGACTAAGCGCCCTAAATTACTCTTCCAGACAAAATGACAAAGTTACAATCTGTTCTAAGATGATCTACAGCTTGGCAGATTCCGACGGTGTCTTTCTATATTCATTTAACTCTTTTCATTATTATTATTATTATTATTTGGCCAAGCAAGGGTGGCTGTTGTTGTATTTTTACACATATACAGGCATCTATCTTTTAAAGTCCTCAGAACATTTGAACAGTTAATGAGGCTTGGGAAGGAAGCAAAGGAGCTTTCAGATGGAGTGGGTTTCTAGAAGGTTGCAGTGGGGGGAAAACATATCCCAGGGAAACCGTACACTTCAGAAATAATTTCAGCTCCATTTAAAAAGCATTTAGTTCAAGTATGACGCACCAACCATTATGCATTTGTGGAAACCAATTTTGCATGAGCTACACATCTTTTCGAGATGTGCTTAAAACGTGATAGTTCGTCTGTTTTACAAGCCTTGTGTGTTCACACAAACACTTTTGAACGGCTTTGTATTTAAAATGAAAGAAAGAAACTGAAACGAGCGTATGCTGAATCTCTTGTTTCTTCTATCAGGCTGGTGTTTTGCTAGAACTGTTGTCTTAAAATGCTTCGCTTTTTACATAAAGGAGACCTTGGATTAGATATCTGGGAATCTGGGAAGTGATGAAAGTTTTAGACTGATAGGAGGACACCCCAAATTACATTCATTCCTAATCCTGGAAACTCAAACTACCTTTCAGCCCAACCAACCCAACTGGAAAAATAGGAGAACACACCACATGGAGCTCCTGAATGAAAGATCAAATATAAATCAAATAACTAGGATTAAGCCTGAAGAAGGAAAGTTACTTATCCTGATCATGCACACAACCTATTTCATATAGGTGTTCCCATCTTAAAAATGTCTGAAGTGGAAGTAGGTAGAATCTAGTTCTTCCTTTCATAAAGACACCTTCATGTTCTGGATTAAGGTTTTAAAATGAAGGCAAAGCACAGAGATATTCGTTGTTGTTTTTTTGCTGCTACGCCAGCCTGTTTCACTGGTATCAATCTTGAGCAAAGAGGCAGGTGGTCATAATTTTCAGCAAAAAAAACACATGTTTTTCCTGATCTTGTCAATCCTGTTCCAACATCCTTTGGAAGAGGTCTTTCCCTGAGAGTGACTTGAGTTTTGCTTGAAGCAAAAAACCTAAATATCTAATTTTGTAATTCAACAGGTTAGGTTTTGTTTCATCCCCAGTATTTTGGTATTTTTATGAATATTGTATTAGGTTAACTGTAATTATAATTTGGTTACTATTGCTGCTGCTATTAGTACCCCTACTCATTTCTTTCTCTCCTTGTTTCATTTAACTTTTATTCTCAAACCTTAGGTAATTCTGCCTAGCAAGCTGAATGAATTGTTGATTAACTGGACTCACATATCCATCAGGCAAAACTACAGGTTGTCCTCAACATATGACCACAATGGAGCCCAGCGTTTCTGCTGTTAAGTGAGGCATTTATTAATTGGGTTTTGCCCCATTTTACATCTTTTCTTGCCGCAGTTGCTAAGTGAGTCACTGCAGCTGATAAGCTACTAATGGGGTTATTAAGTGAATGTGGCTCCCCCATTCACTTGTCTGAAGGTTACATAAGGGGACCCCAGGACCCCGGGACACTAAAACCGTCATAAATATGAACCAGTTTCTAAATGTCTGAATTTTGATCACATGACCATGGGCAAATAGCAATAGCAATAGCACTTAGACGTGCTTTACAGCCCCCTCTAAGCGGTTTACAGAGTCAGCCTCTTGCCCCCAACAATCTGGGTCCTCATTTTATTCACCTTGGAAGGACAGAAGGCTGAGTCAACCTTGAGCCTGGTGAGATTCGAACTGCCAAATTGCAGGCAGCCGTCAGTCAGCAGAAGTGGCCTGCAGTACTGCACTCTAACCACTGCGCCACAGAGGCTCCTTCATGCTACAAAGGTAACTAGGTAACTATGAAAAACCACCATAGGTCATATTTTTCAGTGCCGTTCTAATTTTGAACCATCACTAAATGAACTGTTGTTAAGTCAAGGACTACCTGCACTTCAGCTGAGCTAAAAAAAACACAGCACAGCTCACTGGGGAAGGGTCGATTTTGAGCCCTGTGCATGCGCGATTTGTGTGTTTGGTGCGTGCACGCAATAGCCATGCTTGCACAGCTTACCAGCCTTGATTAAGACGGCGGAGTTTGAGCACTGCACCTGCATGTGTGAAGCAAGCTCCAAACCAATAGGAACATTTTTTGAAACACACCACTGATTCCCATCCTGGGCTTGACACCACATAGATTGTCTTTCATTACAGCCTTGTTTTGTTTTTTTATCTGGACCTGAGTAGGCAAAGATAAAATCTCAGGAGGTGTGTTTTCCTTCCCATTCTTGGATCTGATATTCTGCCTACTCTTTCTGTTTCCTTGCTCCCGTGGAGGTCACCAAGATTCATAGGACTTGTCTAGATACCATCTTAATTACATTTTAAAGACCCCACCAGCCATGGCTTGGGTTCTTCTCCTTTCCAAGCAAGTAGATGCCTACTTGAAAGTCAAGACAGAGGAATTCATTAACAGTAACCTATTCTCTCATAGTCTCAAGGAGAATCTTTTGGAATTCCTGGAGAATCAGGTTGCCCAAACTTTCATTTGTGAAATGTTTAGGTCCTCCAGGAATCCTTTCACTAAGCGGTTGTATACCTTAAGTAGTCTGTGCTTAGTAAGTTTCTCAGAAGATGGGTGCGATTCCGAATCTATTTCTTTGGAATTGCATTCTTGAAATTATTTATCATCTTTGAAGAACGTTGTCTAGTTAGTGACCATTTTGGAATTTCATTTGCCTGCTGGGAGGATTAATCAGCATATCACCCAAAGTGTGAAGAAACTTCATTCTCCAGGTATCCCTTTGTTAATCCCTAGTTCTCAACTTTTGTTCTCACATGGCTTAGGAGGACAAGCCATTGGAGTCATTTGCAATTAGTGGCTTGCTTACGCGAACATCAAAAATTAGATTGCCCTCTGCAGTAACGTGAAGACCAGCTGGTCCGCACACATGCATGTGACAGAACCTAGAAGAGAACAGCTGGCCGGTGCGCATGCATGCCAGACCAGTTGGACGCCACAAGCATGAAGGAACCCGGAAGTGCCATTGGCTGCCGCACACTGGCCAGTTTTTCTCTTCTGGGTTCTGGCGCTCCGGTACTCATGTTCCAGTTTCGGCACTTGCCGAAAAGGTTAACCATCACTGGTATAGGGGATCATACGTTAATTAACCCACGTCTCCAACAACCTTACCGATTCATGAAACCAAGTTGTAAATGTTGCCTGGAAAAGCCGTCAAATGCTAATAACAAAATCCTTTAAAGTTTAAACCAAAGGTGTGAAACTCAATTTCATTGAGGGCTGCATCAGGGTTGTGTTTGACCTTAGGGGGCCAGGGTGGGTGTGACCAGGGTGGGCATGGCCAGATCAATGTCACTTGTGCTGGGGGCACCTGTGGTGCCCCAAGCACTCTGCCAGCGAAAACAGGCTCCCAAGGTCCATTTTTGACTGCAATGGCCTCCTGCAACCCTCTGCCAGCAAAAGTGGAGCTTGGGAGGGCCACATTTTCACTGGCAGAGTGCTGGCACAGGCTGGTCCTTCACTGTTTCCAGGGCAGGCCTGTAGGCCAGATCTAAGCATCCTGTGGGCTGGATCCACCCCCCCCAGGCCTTGAGCTTGACACCTCTGCTTTAAACTCACAGCAAACCTAAGAATGAATTAAACACAGATTTCAAACTGTAAACACGTACACATAGCCACACCCTTCATGAGTCACACACTAGAACCAGCACGAATTCACACTCAAGCCCCTCAAGCCCACACCAAGAACCAGACCTCCTATAAAACAACTTCTCTGTACCACATTTTCTCTGATCGCAGTAGCCCTTAGATTTATATACCGCTTCACAGTGCTTTTACAGCCCTCTCTAAGAGCTTTACAGAGTAGCCTCTTTTCCCTAACAATCTGGGTCCTCATTTTACCCATCTCGGAAGGAGGGAAGGCTGAGTCAATCTTGAGCATGGTGAGATTCGAACTGCCAAACTGCAGTCAACCGGCAGCCAGCAGAAGTAGCCTGTAGTATATTGCACTCTCACCACAGTGCCACCATGGGCAAAGTTCTGTTTTGGGGAATTAAAAAAACCTCCATTCCTCACAGCTGTCTGGATTTCATGTTTGCTCTTACGCAACCCCTGCTTGAGACTGTAGGTCTCTGCATCCAGGCCAGTAGATCCGAAGGTGGCATTAAAGATGGCTTAGGGGACCAATCAGCATCCACCACTGGGATTCATTTGGCCTTCTAAACTAGAATTGTGTTTGCTGGTTTGAGACTTGAGGGCCTCCGTTTGGACTTCTTTCTCATTGAGAATTTGGCTTCACAGAAGGTTAATTTCTGGTCCATTGGCCTTCCCAAACCAACAGATTAGCTGTGATCCTCTCTGTTTTGAGCACATTGTGGAACTTTTCCCCCTGGTGCATTTTTGGTTTCTAAAAATGCAAATGGAAAGTGCTTTCATACGAACACTCACTTCCTTAGTTGGCCGAAACCGGATAAAGCATTCACAGAAGAAGAAAATAGGTCAAAGGGCCAAACCAGAAAAATACCAGCACAATTTCACATCAATTTCACCATTTGGAAAGGAAAGATGGCTGGCAGTGGACATATATAGAGATAGAAGAGGGGAAACAGACAGGAGGAGATGGAATCATGGGGACACACATTTTTCCATCATCTAAGTTGCTAAGTACAAAGACACGTGCAGCAGCTGGAAATGCAAGCGGATGAAAACGTTTAGAAACAAAAGGAATAGGAATATATATATAAATTTATATATACGGCAACAGGTAAGCTAGTTTACTCTATGTTTAGAAGTAAGGCAGAAAGAATAAAAGCAGCAACAAACCCAAAACGAAGAGGGAAACCAAAAGAGAAGCAAACAAAAACAAATACAAATCAAAACTGGATTGAGGTTGGTAAGGTAGTCTTTAATGTGTCACAAGTTTTCACAAGGACAAAGTTGGAGAAGGGAAGAAAAAAAATAAAACCCCATAGCGGTTGTCTAGCTCATGCAAGAACCAGCGGTGGTCATACCTTGGTCCATCCTATTCATCCTTGTGGCACTTTAGGAAGAGAAGTATATAAGCTATATAAATTTTCAAAAAGGCGTTTAAACGGTCACATGTCCCACTGAGCACTTTAACTGGCACATCCTTGGCAGTCTCTGAGAAAATGCCCAATGGCAAAGTCAGTGTGGTGGGTAGGAGGGGCGGTTATTTTCCAAAAAAATATATATATACATAGCACATAGAATCATAGAGTTGGAAGGGACCCTGGAGATCTTCTAATCCAACCCCTTGCCCAAGGCAGGGGTTCTTATACCATCCTGGACTAAATGGTATACACGAGCGCATGAATTTAACTTATGTGATCGAGGATTGGTAGAAGAGGACTAATATTGCTTTCCAGTTGGGACTGGAATATGGATGTTTATGAGGAGAAGAAGATTAGGAACCTGACATGATTCCCAGCAATCGTATCTCCCAAATAATAAAAAAAAAAAAGAGAGAGAGGAAGTCTTTGTGCATCACTCTCATTGTGGTTAAACCAGAGTTTGTCAGTAAAAGTGCTTGGCTTCATTGTCAATTCACACAGCAAGCTTGAATAATCAACATGCTTTTGGGAGAAGTGGAGGGGAAGGGCATGCCTACAGTAGCTAGCAAATCTTCCTAGCCCCAATATATGCAACTTTCTAAAACACAGAACACATGCGAGGCAAACAACTGGCTCTCTCTACAAAAAAAAAAAAAAAGAAGAAGAGGGGAGGGAAGGAATTGTACAATTGCAAGGGAGTCACTTTCTGCAGCGAAGTGGGGAAAAAAATGTGGGGCAGAATTTCAAAGTGCAGCATGGATGGCTTAGAAACATAACTTCTGCATGTTCAATTTGGAGTCCATTCCTTCCAGTCGCCAATAAATGGACTGCAGTGGCAGGTAGCTTGGCCAGGGTCTTTCAAACAACGTGATGAAGCTGCAACAAATAAAATAAGAGCAGCGAGGGAATATGTTTGGGATTTTGGTAATGTCCATGCCGAGGACTGTGAAATATCAGAGTTTGTCTTGCCTAGGTTTTGAGAACAGGGTTTTCTCAAATTGTTTTGTTGAAAATATCAGCATATTGCAAAAAAAGACTAAGAAGAATAAGATGGCCTCAAAAAAAAAAAAAAAGGAACATGCCCCATAGGCTGTATTTATGCGGCCTGTAAATATGCTTGTTGCAACACGCAACAGGGAAGAATTAAGCAGCAGTGTTGTTTGCACATATACACACCACCAATAATGCAGCTGGATTAACGGGCAAATAAGGAGCAATCTACAAAGCATCACCAACCTCCAGAAGTGTGAGATCAGTTGAGTGGCAAGTGGGCTGGGAAAATGAATGCTAGGGGGCCTATTAAGAAAAATATGCTATGATTCCGACAGAAGAGAAGCTCAGAGCTGACCTGTGGGGCTCTTGGTTGTCTCTGAACTTGGTGGTTTTCTTGCAGAAGTTTTATTATTCAACTAGGTAATATCAGTGATAGAAGGGAATGAGGTTTGTGGATCAGAGAAAGGAGCGGGAGGTGGAAGGAGGAGAAGGACTGTGGGATCCTTAGTGTTCTCTGAACTTGGTGGTTTTCTTGCAGGGAATGGGTTTGTGGACCAGGTGAAGGGATAGGAGGAGGAGGAGGAGGAGGAGGAGGAGGAGGAGGAGGAGGAGGAGGAGGAGGAGGAGGACTGTGGGATCCTTAGTGTTCTCTGAACTTGGAGATTTTCTTGCAGATGTTTCATTACCCAACTAGGTAACATCAGTGATAGAATGGAACGGGTTTTGTGAAGCAGAGAAAGGAGAAGAGGAGGAGGAGGAGGAGGAGGAGGAGGAGAAGTTCTGTGGTGTGCTGGGGTGCTCTCCAAACTTTCTTGCACATGTTTCATTACCCACCTAGGTAACACCATCACGTCTGCAAGACAACAACGGCACTATGTCTACATATGGACACCTATTGTTCTGGAAGTAAAATATTTTTGAGTGATGAGAGGGGTGTGGATCCAAAAATAAAAAGTGCTCCTGTGTTTGGAAACACTCCTAAGGTGTGTTGAATTCAACCCTTAGTTGAAACACTGAATAAGGAAGTGAGATTTGGCAAATCTATTAGAGTGGTTACCAAAGGGCAGAGAAGGCAACCTGTTTGGTGGGTTCTTTTTAATCTTTTAAAATCGGCTGGTACAGGTAGTCCTTGACTTACGACCACAATTGAGCCCACAATTTCTGTTGCTGAGTGGGTTTGTCAAGAGGGTTTTGCCCCATTTTACGACCTTTCTTGCCACAGTTTTATAAGTGAATCACTGCAATTAAACAGTTAGTAGCACAACTGTTGAGTGAATCTGGTTTCCCTCTTGATTTTGCTTGTTAGAAGGTCGCGCAAAAGGGGATCCCATGACCTCTGAATGCTGATCACGTGATTGTGGGGATGCTACAAAGGTTGTAAGTGTGAAAAACGGCCATAAGTCACTTTTTTTCAGTGCCGTGGTAATTTTGAATGGTCGCTAAGTGAACTGTTGTATGTTGAGGACTTCCCTATATTTTTCACTGTCAAACAGTCTTGCCAAGTCTATTAGCTAAGACCTGATCCCACCCTTTCTTCAAGGTGTGTGTCTTTCTTGAGGTGTTCACTAAATTAAAAATCTCCCAAGCAGGGAGGGGGAAAAAATCCCTCACTTAGACTTATATACTGCTTTATAGTGCTTTACTTATATACTGCTTTATAGTGCTTTACTTATATACTGCGTTATAGTGCTTTATAGTGTTTTACAGAGTCAGCCTTTTGCCCCCAACAATCTGGGTCCTCATTTTACTGACCTCAGAAGGATGGAAGGCTGAGTAAACCTTGAGCCAATCAGTCAGGATCGAACTGCTGACAGGGGGCAGAGTTAGCCTGCAATATCGTATTCTAACCACTGGGAGGGAGGGAGGGAGGAAGATAACAATAGCACTTAGACTTATATACCACTTTATAGTGCTTTACAGCCCTCTCTAAGTGGTTTTACAGAGTCAGCCTCTTGCCGCCAACAATCTGGGTCCTCCTTTTACCCACCTCGGAAGGACGGAAGGCTGAGTCAACCTTGAACCTGGTGAGATTCAAACTGCCAAATTGCAGGCAGCTGGCAATAAGAAGAAGTAGCCTGCAGTACTTCACTCTAACCACTGCACCACAATGGCTCATGTGCTTAAAGAAGGAAAACTTTCTGCTCTGGTTTGAATATTCTACATATGCTCCTTGGCTATATGAATAAGCTTTTTACCTCATTTATTTTGTACACCAGGTGACAAATTCACCTTTTATTAGAAGTCAAAGTCTCCGGAAGGAATATCCTAATGAGTTGCATTCAATATTTATGAATTATGTGTAGCACTTCATCCCGGATGTCAAAAAGGGAGAGGAAAATATAGTTATTCGTGTGATGGGCTAGATGGGACTTTTAATATGCAAGCGGATATTTTTTTAAAAAAATCTAAAAGAAAAAAAGGTTAAATCACTACAACGGGGAAAATGACATCCCTGACCATATTTTGATAGATTGGTATTAAAGGGAAGAAGGCACTGTGATAAGGCTAAAGTTGCTTTAGTGTAACAGCATGTGTGTAAGATTGTGGGGAAAAGCAACAACAATGGTGGGCAAGACACATACTATCCAGGGGTAGGATTCAACCAGTGTAACAACCGGTTTGGTGAGTGCGCACTTCATGCACACTTTGTGTGCACACATACAGCATTTGAAAACCACTCATTTTCAGCTCTAATACTTATCTTCTACCGTGAGTAAAAACAGCTGAGGCGCGGCAATCCATTGTGCCGCACGAATCAGCTGAATTGCAAAACACAGAAATAAAGCACAGGAAAGAGTAGGGGTGGGTGGGTGTGACCAAATGACCACCGGAACAATCGGTTCACGTGAACCAGGCTCAACCGGTAGAATCCCACCCCTGATTCTATCTGCAGTCCAAGGGACTGAATTTTTCACATCTCCCTGGTAAGTTTCTTGCAAAATTATTCCGTTGGGAGAATCCCGACTTCAGGTGTGTGACTGTGAAATCTCTCTCTCTCCCCTCCCCCCACTCCAACTCGTACCTTAAGTAAATTTATCTCTGAAGTTGACTTCTTTCCAAAAAAAAAAACCCACACCCAAAATTATCTCACCAGAGAGGCAAAATTGTTCTGCTTTTTAGCAGTTCGCTCCTTATCAATCTGCTCTGCATTGTACATGAGGTTTGGTCTGTCTGCCTGGTTGCTGTTGTGCTTAAAAGGGTTTCATGGTATCAAAATAAAAAATGACAGCCCCATGCATGCTGTCATACGTATGCCAAGTATGTGTATAAAATGGGGGATCCATGGGGAAAGCCGAGGACAACAGGGGAAGCTGATTATTGGACACACCAATTAGGAAAGGATGAGTGGTGGATACAGCTTCACACACAGGGAGAGGAGAGACATGAGTCAAAGTCTATCTTCTTGCACGTACTTCTGCTTTTCCCGGGATTCTCTGGACTTTGGGCGGTTCTGTCGATTCGCCGTAGCTGGCAGAGAATGGACTGAAGAGCTTTTCTTGCTAGATGCGTACGAAGAGTGGGAAGAGTGAGAGAGACTCGCCCGAGACTGGCCGGCGTTGTGGTCGTACTGCATCAAGCAGAAGATCCAGTCAGTCGGAACCAGTTCGAATTCATAAGGTGGGTTGGCTATAACAAAACTGGAAAAGAAAAGGGAAAAAAAAAAAACACAAGAAGAAATGGATGGAAACCTATCCAGGAGAGACGCAACCTGGAATTAAGGAGAAACTTCCTAACAGTGAGAACAATTAACCAGTGGAATGGTTTGCCTCCAGAAGTTGTGAAAGCTCCAACATGGGAGGCTTTCAAGAAGAGACTGGACAACCATTTGTCTGAAATCATATTGGGTTTCCTGCTTGAGCAGGGGGCTGGACTAGAAGACCTCCAAGGTCCCTTCCAGTTTTGTTATTCTGTAATTCTGATACTTTATTATTCTGTTTGTTATTCTGTTATTTATTTCCCTTTCATTATCTTTCTAGGTTCTGAGCTGTACATGAGTTCTTTCTTTCTTTCTTTCTCCCTCCTTCCTTCTCCCTCTCTCTTTTCTTTCTTCCTTCCTTTTCTTCTTTCCTTCTGACTCTCTTTCCTCCCTCTCTTTCTTTCTTTCTTTCTTTCTTTCTTTCATTTCTTCCTTTTCTTCCTTCCTTCTGTCTCTTTCTTTCCCTCATTCTTTCCCTCTTTCCCTCCTTCCTTCCTTCCTTCCTTCCTTCCTTCCTTCCTTCCTTCCTTCCTTCCTTCCTTCCTTCCTTCCTTCTTTCTTTCTTTCTTTCTTTCTTTCTTTCTTTCTTTCTTTCTTTC